GGCTCAATCTGTCTGCCAAAAATAAAAAAAGAATAATGGACTCAGAACCTTCTTTGACCAAGTTTCTAGAAGAACGTTTGCCCTGAAGTTGCATGAGGGGTGAATTTTTTTTGCAGGCTTTGCTTTGCCAGCTGAAGCTGTTGGATTCCTTGCCAAGGGTGTGGCCAGGGAGGAAAAAAAGGGCTGCTGCTATCAGCTGACAAAAAAACCCCAGTGATGGGCTGTGAAATTAGTGCTGAAATGATACTTCAGCAGGTTTGTTGAGAGGTTGGTGCAAGGATGCATGTTACAGATGTGGCTGCTGCTATCAGCTGACAAAAAAAAACCCCAGTGATGGGCTGTAAAATTGGTGCTGAAATGATAATTCAGCAGGTTTGTTGAGAGGTGGGTGCAAGGATGCATGTTACAGGTATGTTTTTAAAAGATTTTAAGAGAAAATAAGATATTTGATCTCTCAGTGTGTAGGAGAAAGGATCTGATGAGCTGAGTGGGTGAGGAGGACCCTAGTAAGATTGAACCTATTCAGCATGGACAGACAAATGAGCAGAAAATTGTCAAACCAGCTTGTTTCCACATTTTTTCCTTTTTTTCCCCCCTCCTTTAATCACTTAAAATCCTTTCAGGAAAGAAATTTTTCCTCATGTCCAACCTAAAGGTCCCCTGGGGCAACTTGAGGCTGTTTCCTCTTGTCCTGGTGCTTCTTCCTTGGGAGAAGAGCCTGACCCCCACCTCACTTCAACCTCCTTTTAGGTATAATACATTATTTCAAGTATAATAATTCTCTAGATGACCACAGGAATTCTCTAGATGACCATAGGAATTCTCTAGATGACCATAGGTCCCTGCTCCTTTGTCTACCAGGAGACATGAATTAAAGCACATGATTGATCACCCATATCCATAAATAAATGTAATTATTTGGAAATCTCTTGATAGGCAGCTATAAAACTTGAAGGGGGCAACGAGTTTTGTATTTAGATTCTGGAGGATGGAATGAATACTGATGGGTTGCTCCTTCTCCTGAAACTTCAGCCAATGGCTTAACCTTGTTTAAATGGGGGAAAAAAAGGAAGAAAAAGCAAAATCAAAGATGAATTGGGAAATATTTGTCTGTGAAAGTAAAAATTCCCAAGCCTAGGGAATCTCCAAGATGGTCATCTCCAAATACTGCTGCTCTTGACTCTTCTGAAGATGTCCCTGAAATTCCCTGTTGTTTACCCCTGTGCACAGAAAATAAACCCCTTAATGACTGAAACTTTCCAGATCCTTCCTAAGAACCTCCTGCCTCCTTAGAAACCCTTCCTGCCTTGTCTCAGAATCTTCAGCTTCAGGCAGGAGGAAGCTCTGAAACTTCAATCCCCTGCTTGACTGTGGGGTAAGAACGTTTCCATGGCTAATTAAGACAATGAGGCTTACAGGGATGGTCTGGAAGAAGGTGCTGGAAGATGTATGGAAGAGTTCTGATTTGTAGTTTCTCACTGCATTGCCCTTTGAGGTGGGTGAGGGACACTCTAGTGATGGAATCTCACCTACCATTGCCTTCCCACCTTTCCCTTCCCAGACAACTGCCTTTTAAAATGTAGCTGGAAAGATCAGAAGAGTTATGACTGCAAAAAAATCACTGCAAAATGAAA